TTCCATTTCTTGTTTCTTACATATTTTACTTTTCTTTTTTCCCCCTTGATAAGTTTTAAAGTGAACAGTTCTTGCCCTGGATGGCATTTCTTCCTTCTTCTCTAATTAGACTTTGATGCGTTTGTTTCTGTCTCCGATTTGCCAATGGGGTGATTTGTATGAAAGGATTTTCCAAGGCTGAGTAGCCATGACAGAGACCTACAACATTTACTATCGCTTCTGTTAGAAAAAGTTCAATCCCTGGCGTAGGGTAACATGATCAATAGGTCAGGTGTTCTGGAAGAAATGCAGGTAGGGATTATCACGCCCATTTTATGGGTGGAGAGAGTGAGGTTCAGAAAGGCCTGGTGCCTCTCCCAGCGCTGTAGAAGGTGGTTAAGGGCACTGGACTCCCATGTGGTCGACCACAGTTTGAGTCCTGGACCTGGCAGCTTGCTGAAGGCATGACCGCAGGAGCCTGTCCTTCACTTACCTTTTCCCACCCACATGAGGGCGAGACCCAGAAGACGGAAGGAAAGATGCCAGTACCCTTGCCCTCTCTAAAGACTGTAGCAAGGTCTGGGATGGCCACTAGAAGGGGGCCTTCTAGCGAGCATGCCCCTCTTCCACTCACAGTAATTAGACATTTCAGGAGAGTGGGGTGCAAACAGCCCACGACTGGTGAAAAAGCTGGGAAGCCCCCTCTGACGGGCTACTGACTGACTGCTTCTCTTGGTGAAGCTGGGTGAGGGTTCGGAGTGAACTTTCCTGTCCAAGCAGCACAGCGAACATCATCCCAAGAGGGTGTCCACCAGGGGTCTCCCCCAGGCAGGGCACTGGTAGGAAAGCCCTCACCTGCCACGGTATGCGCTGTAGGAAGAGCCCTGAGCAGACGCTGCGTGTTCTGAGCAGACAGGGCGAGAACGCCTGCCCTTTGGAGGAAGGAGGGACACCGAAGCCAGGCCTCTGCGTGGTCACTAGCAAAGAGCACGGCCTTTCTGCAGCGAGGGGCTGCACTGCCTCACGCCTCAAGCCACAGGTACACCTGCTGGGCAGGACTAGGGGCAGATGGCCACACACGACATGGTCTAAGGGTGGTGAGGACTCTTAGCTGTCAGCGGAGGGCTGCCCAGGACTGGGCATGAGGGGCAGCCAGCAGGGGAAGCCCTCACACCAGGGACACTGGCCTGGTTTCAGGAAGCCATGACTCAGCTCTCTTCTTGGAAAGCACTTCAGGCCACCTCACCAGGAGACTTTGCGAGAAGGGCCCATGGATCAGGTTCATCAACCCAGTATCAGCCAAGGCAGTGGGAGAATGAATTGGATTGCTCCAGGAGGGACCTGCAAGGCCATGGAGAGCTTGGTGGGAGAAGCCAGGTCCACTCCAGGGTGGACTGAACTGTGGGCCAAGCTGGGCTGGGAGTGCTCCAACGCTTAGAGTTCAGGACTCTCGGGCTAAAAAATGATGAGACAGGAAGAGTCATTTGGACCGTGGTTGGAATGTTCCCCAAAGAAATATTCTAGAAATGGAATGTCAGTGCTGGTGCCGTCTGGCTGCTGCCTTCAGAGAACTGGGCCGCAGTCTGCACTCACTGACCAGCAGGGGGCACTGGACCACTCGGAGCTGCGGGGTGGAGTGAGCACCGCCTGGCACAGCCAACTGCAGCCCAGGCTGCACCCCAGCTGGCCTGCTGCACTTGGTATGCCCCCTCAGTAGGTTCATCCCTCGAGCGCCCCCTGCATCCACCTCATTCTCAGCAGAACTGTGCGGCCTTCCCCGGCTCCGTTTTCCACTACCTGTTAGCTATGGAGAAGTGTCCCAGGTGGAGGACCCGACAAGGGCACAGGCCGCGAGGCCATCGCATGATTGTCATGGTCAGGGCGTGGCCAGCAGCAGCGCAGGAGCCCTGAGGGCGGGGCTGGGAGACCCCTAACCTGCTCACTGTGGCCGTGCTGTCTGTGACCCAGACGGGATTTTGTTCTAAGGGCCAAAGGATGGGGGGAGAGCTGAGCCCTCGGCAGCAGATGCCAGGGGTTAGTGAGGTGGTTTGTTTGCTTTTAAGTGTATGTAGGTCCACTCTGAGGCTAACAGTAACAAGCTGTTCAAGAGAAGCCAAATCTTAGCACGGTGACTGCCGTTTGGATCCCCAGCTGGTCAGCCTGACATGCTGGACACACGTGCAAAGTGTCCAAGACCCAACGGGCTGGGGACTAGAGGAAGGGGATCACGGCCTGACCGGATCCTGGGAAGTGTGCTCACGCTGTCCTTCCTTCCCACCTGTGTGTGCTTACGCTCTATCACAAATAACAGAATAAAGGGGAAAAAGACGTGCCAGTCCTCTTCCATCAAACATTCAAATAAGCTGGCTGTTCGGAATGCACCGATACATCCCTTGGCATCAGGCGCTCCACGGGACCGTCAGGTACACCCCCAAGCGGACTCCAGGCGGAAAAGCAGAACGCATGGATCAAGCTCAAAACCCTTTCGAATCCCATGAAGACCTCCCCAGTCCCTCCACACACCCGACTGCATCCACATTTCTACCTGCTGCTGGGCTCCTCGAGCCATACTGGATTCCTGACCCGTTCTTCCATTATTCCCTGTGCGTGGGGTGCCGCAGAGGTGCTGTGCTCAGGCCCGCCCACACATCACCTGGTCTGAAGTTTCCTCAAATTCCCTGATGCCGAGGTCCTCCACCCCCAGGCCTCCCACCAGCTATCAGTGCAGGGTGTCCCTGTCGTTTGCTTGACAGTCCTGACTTACACCTCAGTCCCATACTCTGTGTGGGACAGGGAGAGGGGGAGAGTGACAAAGCACCCCCACTATGGGGAATGGTCATGCCACAGTCCCTTCTCCATTCTCCCACCTTTCAGGATTTGAGGCACATATGCACACACACCTAGTGTGTTTTCCTTTTATTTATTTATTTAGAGGTTTTTGTCTTAGGGAACTGTGCTCATCGGAGAGAAAGGCAGAGACAGTGAAAGGGAAAGTGAGAAATCACCTCCCCGGGGGACAGCCATGCTGCAATTCTTCCTCCTCCAGGGATCTTGGGCACACACACACACATGCATGCCTGGTGTGAGTTTCAAGCCACGGGGTCTGGGACTCGAACTGCAGCTGATCATGTGGGAGTCCAGTGATATAACAGCTGCTACACCATCTGCTGGGACCCCTTGGTGTGTTTTTCAATCAGGTGGGACTTGAACTGTGCAGCTGGCCACCTGAGATTCAGCTACCCCAATCTGCAGGCCACTGGTGAGCCCACCACCTTTCATTTTCAAAAGCAGCCCCATCTGTATGGCCACCCTGAGCAGGTACCCAGGCCGTGTTCCACCACTGAACACTGTACACGGCATCCAGGCCCTCAGCAACACCCTCCTACGGCCATCCACACCCATCACCACCCGCAGAGCACTCAGGCTCATGGCTACCTCCAGCTCTTGTCCTGCCCCCGGGGCAGGTCTCAACACAGTGGTGAGTCTCTGCATCAGACCTTGTCGCTCCTCTGTGCGAAACCTTCCACCCACTTCCTGTGGGATGTGTGGTCAGGGCCACTTCCCCTCTGACCGCAAGGCCTACCACACTCTCAGGCTGCTACTCACCTGTCTGCCCTGGTTGGTCCACCCACCTGGCACATTTTTTAAAAAGTTTATTTTATTCACAATAAAGAGTGCATTCTCTCCATCATGAGAGAGGAAAGAGAAGCACCCTTGACAGGGCCTCATTTAGCCACGATCCCCTTTTCCCAGCCTGTGGGTCCATCAGGATCTCAGGCATACACTAGCACGCCCAAGCAGTGCAGGCTGGCTGGACTGGGGAGCTGAGCCTGTGGTTACCACGTGCTCCCAGCAGTGCAGTGCTCCTGTGCCACGGCTGGGTCATCTCCCTAGGCCAGCCCACAGAGGCTGAGTATCAGTGAAGGAAGGGCTGTGCATCTGGGTCTGACACTAAGATGCTTAGAGCACTGCGTGGCCCAAGTGTTCATCAGTTTTTGTTAAATACCCCCTGATGATGGAAGTAGAAAAGAAAAAAAACCTATGTGTGTGCATGTACACCTACCTATGCATCACAAAGTGGTAAATTCTGTGGAAAAATAGAACAGAGCACGAGGGGGTATGGTATGGGGGGCAGGGGTTGCCATGTCATATAGGATGGTCAGAAGACACATCTGGGTGAAGGCCGAAGTTGGTTAGGCACTTTCAAATACCAGCTTCAACTGTGTGAGCTGTCTGTTCACTGCATAGGTAGCTTCAGCACCTGTGGGCACTCAATTTATATGCTGAATTGAAAACAGCCCCAGGACCAGCAGTTGGCATAATGGCTGTGTTGCTGGACTCCTGTGTAGTCAACCGTGGTTCAAGTTCTGGACCTGGTGGCTTAAACTGACACCGAGTGTGTGTGCGTGTGTGCCCAAGATCCCGAGAGGAGAATGGAGGAGAAGGGATTGTGGTGTGGCCATCCCCCCCAGGGGTGATTTCTCGCTTTCTGTCTCTCTGTCTCTGTCTGGCGAGCGCACACGCCCTATAGCAAAAACCTCTCAAAACAAAAAAAAACAAAAAACAACACACACACACACACACACCAGTCCCTATTGTGTTCTAACTACATGTTTATAGGCTTGTCCCAATCCCTAGATTGTCTCTGAGAACCCCTAAATCCCAGTACAGTCTAGAGTTCATGGACTCCCGTAAATGCAAAGTGACAGAACGAACTTCAGCTCTCTGAAGGCCAGGGCCAGACCACACGCTTTCCTGAGGCACCTTCCTGTTCTGAGATCCGCTTTTCCTTCTCCCTCCTGCCTATCAAACCTCCCTACAGGGTACAGGCTTTTGGGCACACGTGCTCGGCGTATTTTTCAGGTCACTGGGTCTGAGACTCGAGCCACACAGTCAGCCATATGGGATCCAGGCACCTCAACTACCATGTGACCGGCTGGCCCAAGATACAGGCTTTTGAACACCTCCCAAATCAGAACTAGTTCATCTCCATTTGACAATGACCACGATCCAAGAGAAAATTCCAGTCCGAAACATTCTTTTTTTTATTTACATCACCTTTTCCTGGCCAAGTCAATGGCTCGATCATTTACACAAAAGATTCTAAAGCTGTCAGCATTTGCTTTTCCAGACAAATAAACTTTATCATAACAAGTTAAAGCTCTGATCCAATCCCTGTGAAGCCTGAGCTCTGATCATCTCAGCCAGGAAGCTGCTTCCTGCTTACCAGGAAATGTGAGCCCACTGTGGCTAGCTTTACCCTTCCCGTTCCTAGCACCCTGTTTTACAGCAAAGACGTGAATTCCAAAGTTCGCAAATGCGTATTCCTAGAACTCATCCCCATCTGAGGTTGCTTACCCGACAGGTCATGTGATGTGCACCAGTTAACATGCCACAGAAAGTATACACTTCTGGAATAAAAAAAACAACAAAACACAACAACGACAAAAAAAAAAAAAACCAAAAAAAAACAACAGCGTTCCACCTTTTCATACAGCACCACTCTCCATTCCCAAGCACCTTGGGCCTGGGATCTCACTGGCCGAAGCAGGTCTGTGTGCACCCTTGGCTCTTGCTTTCCCAGCTGCGGCTCAAGAGGATCTTCTCGCGTGCAGGACTCCGACCTAAGTCTCCCATCAGTTTCCCAATTTCAAGAAGCATAAAATAGCAGAGCAAGAGGATACACTTGCAAACTCTACAAGTATGAGAAATATCACAGTAACAAATATAAGCACGAAGCAGCTCACACTCCGGGCCACACTCCTTCACGTAAGAACACTGACTGAGCCTGTCTTTCCCAGACTGAATGCGCCTATTAATCAAAACTGATATGACAATCGAATACAGAAATCATCCACCAGGACAGTACTGACCATTGGCTTTAACATGGTAAAAACAGACAGGAAAATAGGGGGAGACACAGAAAGAAGGGCTCTCTGGGTTTCAGCTGGTCCAAGCAGCCAGGCCTCCTTACCAGCTGGAAAGAGTCCATCAGTTGCAACCTAGAGTGGAAGTGGGAAAATAAATCAAAACAAGGTGAATTCTGATTCTAAAATTCGTCAAGCAAACACACACAAACCCAAGGTTAAGGTAATCAGAAATGCAATCACAACCACACTCACACGTTTCCAGTCGGCCCTTCTGTTCCACCCTTCTCTCTCCCTCTTCCTTACAGACAGAGCGGGTACCACCAAGTTCTGCGAGCACCTAATTAGCCCTGACCTTTCGCAATTCCAAATTGTTTTTCGGTAACTACCGAGGTAAATAGGAAGCCAACGCAGTTCCACGGTCCTGCGCTCCGCTTCTGCCCGAGCCTTCCTCCTCCCGCCTCCCCCGCGCCCCTGCACTGGATGCGGGACTGGACCCAATGCTCTCGGCCACTCGGCCCCGCCAGAGCCCGCGGCTGGGACTGACCGGCTCTCGCGCGGCTCAGTAGCACGCGCAGCTGTCCATCTGCTGGTGAAGCTCCAGGATCCTCTTGCCCATCCGCGCCGCCTCCACCGCCTTCCTCTCCACCTTGGCGCACAGCTTCACCACTCTCTCCTCTGCGTCCAGGCCCGGGCTCCGCGCGGGATCCAGCGCGCTCGCCTCCGAGGCTTCCACCTCGCTCTTGATCTCGTCCAGCAGGCTCTCGATCTCCATCAGCTTCCTGCGGGCCCTCCAGTGCGCCCGGACGTGCTCACGCTCAAGGCAGGCAACGTCCTCGCGGACCACGCGGAGCACCGGACTCAGGAGGCCGCCCGGGTCCTCCGGCTCCTGCGCGCCGTCCGCGTCCAGCGGCCGCATGGCGCCCCCACCGCCGCCCTTTCCCGCCCGCGGCCCCTGCCTCCCTGCGGCGCGTCGGGGCAGCGCCTGAGCCGGCGGAGGCCTTGCTGTCACTAGCAACAGGTTCTCCCAACTTTTCACAGCTGACACCGGCGTCGAGAATGGGTCCCTAGCCGTCTGCCAGAACGCTGCTACTTGCGGCCCTTTTACGACATGCCGGTGCTCTTTTACGACCAGGCTGGTGGTGGGAACAGTTTGGGGGCGCCTGCCTTGGCAGCGCGCACGCGCGTCCGCTCACACGCATGCGTACCCCACGCCCTCTTTAAAGTTGTGGCTTTCAGGGGCTTTATGGGGCCGGGGCTTACCATTTCTTGGACGTTAGGGTGGAGCTGTCTACATTTGTAGAAGAAAATAGCTCACACTGATAATGCTGTGTCCCAAGAACTGTTCTAAGTACTTAATAATCTATTTTTTAAGGAATTTGCAAGAGGGCCAGCAGGTGGCATGGTGGTTACGGTGCTGGACTCCCACATGGTGGACTGCAATACGATTCCCAGATCCAGAGGCTTGAAAATCACACCTGACAACTGCGCGTGCGTGCCTGAACTCCTGAGAGGAGAGTGGAGAAGGGATTGTGGCAGTGGTCGTTGTCCTTAGGGGGATGGTTTTTCACTTTCCCTATTTCTGTCTCTCTGGCAAGCACACAAGCTACCGTGAAAAGAACTGCTAGAGGGCGCGTGTGCTGGCAGGAGACCGAGAGGGGGAGTGAGAGAGCACCTTCTGCTTCCCTGGATGATTGCCAGGCCACACTGCATTTCTCGTTTGCGGATTTGGCGCACACACGAACATGTGCCCGAGGTATTTTTCACCTTGCCCATGCTGTTGGACATGTGGCATCCAGCCAGCCCCTTTAACCACCATGCCACCGTTGGCTCAGTGCTTAACATTCGAAATCTAAATAACCAGATGAAATAGGTAGAATCGGGATGGGCAGGTGGCGTGGTGGTTAAGGGCTCTGGACTCCCACATGACGGACCACAGTTTAAGTCCGGGACCTGGCCGCTTGCTTTCTTACCCCCACTCCCGACCTTCTCTGGTCAAATGTAAATAAATAAATAAAGTTAAATAAAATAATTCTTTATTTAACAAAAGAAAGAAAGAAATAGATAGAATCTAGGCTCCAGGACCCAGGTGGGTTACTGTCAGGATAAGGCTGTACTCTTAAGCACCACTCACTCTCACTTCTTGGGCAGCTGCAGCTCCAAACACCAGCTGAGAACTGGGATGTGACAGTGCTGATGCAACAGTGACCATTAGGTTGCCCAGCCAGGCATCTGTCCCTCACTTTGTCTGAAGGCTAAGTTTTATTCTGCGTTGCATTTTGGTTATAAATCTGAGTCTCCCTTCACCAACTGTGAGCTTGCCAAGGTCAAGATAGTCTGACTCAGCACTGTTTCTCAGCTCTGGACAGTGAGTGTGTCCTTGGGATAGTTCTCAATGTGTTCTTCATGGGACTACGTAAACGTAGCACCTCTGTAGACAACAGGCCTTTGGGACAAGTACTTAGTATTTCCCCAGAGCCCTCACTGGGCTCGATACACAGCAGGAGGTCAATAAATGTTGCTTTAACATTATTTCCCAGCAGATATGTATTAAGTGCCTGCTAGGTGTCAATGTGTCCAGGCTGATTTACCCTGTGAATGTCTAGCAGAAAATATTAAGGGGACCTTCCTTGCTGGTTGAACAGGGGTCACTCTCAGCTCCTATAGGCCACTCTCTAGTCCTTGCCCACGGCCCCCTCCACCGTCAGAGCCAGCAACAGCACGTCGATCCTTCTCATCCTACAAATCTCTGTGGCATCTTCTGCTCCCAGCTAGAGAAACTCTGCTTTTCAGGGCCCTGCTAGCGTCTGAAGGTTTGACACCTCCCCCAAAGTCATGTTTCAAACGAATCCCCTACGCGGTGATACAAGTATCTCTGGGAGTGATTAGGAAGTCTAGAGACCCTAGAGAGCTCACTCACGCTGTCAGTCCTGTGAGACTGCAACAAAAAAGATGGCCCTCTATGAACCAAAAAGGCCCCCACTGACACTCAATCTACTGGCTTGATTTCAGACTTTCCGGCCTGCAGAACTCTGAAAAATAAATATCTATTGTTTACGAGCCATCTGGTTTGCAGTATTTTGTTATGAACTAAGACAGAGCTCCTGTGATCAGATTAAGTTCACCTGAATAAACTTTATTTATTTATTTATTTTTTGCTATAGGGCGTGTGCGCTCGCCAGACAGAGACAGAGAGACAGAAAACGAGAAATCACCCCCCAGGGGGGATGGCCACGCTGCAGTCCCTTCTCCATTCTCCTCTCGGGATCTTGGGTATGCACGGAAACGTGCCCAGTGTGAGTTTTAAGCCACCGGGTCTGGGACATGAACTGCAGTCAACTACGTGGGAGTCCAGCGACATAGCCATTACGCTAACTGCTGGTCCCAATAAACTTTTTAATGCAATATAAAGTTGCAATATTATGGGAGAAATACCAGAGAATGAGGATCATGGGGACCAGCTCAAAATTCTGCCTACTGCAGGCTCCTGGGAATTCTAGGGCATGTTCTCGTAGCGGCTAGGTATGACTAGTGGAACTGCACTTGTGTCTAGAGAGCCGGAGTGAACTGAGTTGTCTGGCCTTGGCTCCGAGTGGAATAGAATGAAACACATAGAAACCTACAGACTTCTGAGAAACCTGCTTTAGGAAAAATGCTGCCAGCCTGGATGGAAAGAGGTCGATACTGTTCAAAACATAAATGATTTCCAGATTCCCAACTTCTCACCAGCAGAAGTCAAAATTGTAGTCCAAACTGGCTTAGTTTTCAATGCCCTTTTCAGAAGCAATCCAGGATTGTGATGGGAAGGGGAGAACACGGTGGAAAGTGCAGACAAGAGCTGTGGGCAACCATGTGTTAGGACAGTGGTGGGAAAACCAGTCTCTGAGCTAAGAATGGTTTTTACAACCCTAACGTTTCTCATGTTTTACAAAAATGTATTTTTTTTTCAAAGAAAATAATTAAGTTTGCCAGAGCCAGCCAGTGGCATAGTGGTTATGGTGCTGGACTCCCAAATAGTTGACTGTGGTTCAAGTCATGGATCCAGTGGCTTGAAAAATCACACTGTGCATGTGTATGTGCATGTCCAAAATCCTGGGGGGCGCAGGGAGGAGAAGGGATTGCAGTGTGGCCAGGCTCCCCAGGGGGTCGATTTCTCATCTTCCCTCTCATCTTGTCTCTGTTTCTCTCTGGTGAGCACATGCATGTTATGGCAAAAACCTTAAACAAAGAAATTTGCCAGAGGGTGCATGTGCTCACAGGAGAGAAACAGAGGAAAAACCCTCTGCCCCCTTCACAGTGGGGAACATCACACTGCAATCTCTTCTCCTCCATTTCTCCCTCCTCTGGGGATTTTTTTTTCTCCCAAGCCACCAGCTACAGGAATCTAACTGCACAGTCAGCCCTGTGGGATCTAGCTGTCTCAACTACTAGGCCACAGAGCCAGCCCGATCATTTTTATTATTGTAAAAAGAGAGAGGGGGGATGGGGATATGTGACAGAGACTGTATGTGACTTGCAAAGCCTAAATATTCCACATGTATACCTCCACAGGAAAAGCAGTGCTTCGCTACCGAACCTCTTCTAGGCTACAGAACCGAAGCCCCATGGAGAAACAGTTGCCATCTGTGAGGCAGAGGAACCTGCCAACGCAAGCGCCGTGGAGCTGCAGACGCTGTGACTGCCGGGTCTCCCGCTCTTTGCTCTGCAAATGGGCTTTAGCTTCTCCCTAGCTCACTACTGTCTGCTCATGTCTAGGTAGACAGCATCTTGACTTTTTTTTTTTTTTTTGAGAGGTTTTCGCTATAGGGCGCGTGCGCTCGCTAGACAGACAGAGAGAGACATAGAGACAGAAAGCGAGAAATCACCCCCCAGGGGGGATGGTCACGCCGCAATCCCTTCTCCTCCATTCTCCTCTCGGGATCTTGGGCATGCACGTACATGCGCCCGGCATGAGTTTTAAGCCACCGGGTCCAGGACGTGAACTGCGGTCGACTATGTGGGAGTCCAGCGACATAGCCATTACGCTAACTGCTGGTTCCCAGCATCTTGACTTTTTATAAAAGTCCATAGGGGCTGGCTCTGTGGTCCAGAGGTAATGCACAGCTCAAGAGGAGCCAGGCCTTACGTGATGACTGTGGTTCACAGCCCCGTCTAGTCTGCCTGAAACATGCCGGACACACACACGAGTGCTCCAGATCTGACTGGCTGCAGGGCTAGACAAAGACGGTCACAGTGATTGGATCTTGCGGAGGCCTCATCTCTCCCTCTCTCTCTTGTCTCTATGTTCTGTTATATATATATATATATATTGGGCTCCTGCATGGCTGACCACAGTTTGAGTCCCAGACCTAGTGGCTTGAAAATCATGCTGGCACATGTGCTTGTGTACTCAAAATCCTGGGAGGACGATGGAGAAGGGGTTGCAGCGTGGCCATCTTCCTGGGGGATGATTTCTCACATTCCCTCTAACTGTCCCTGTCTCTCTTTCTCTGATGAGCACATACACCTTATGGTGAAAAACCATAAGAAAGAAAGAAAAAGAAAGAAAGAAATAAACAAAGAAAGAAAGGAAGTTGGTTAAATAAAATAATTATTTAAAAGAAAGAGCTAACTTCAAGCTATAACAATAGCTCTAAAATGACACACAGAGAGATGAAAGAACCATCAGTGGCCTATTAGACAAGAACAGAAAGAAGTTCATAGGTTTCTAGACCAAGAAAAAGCATATTTGCATCTGACATAGATCCCAAAATCCTAAATTTTTCTATGATTGCAATAAGGGGGTGGGTGGGGCCTTAGAGGAGGGTGTGTGAATTTCACATGACTAATTGGGACACTAGGGACACATAGAGGTAGGTTGTATAAATGACCACCGCTTCGCAGGCCCTCCTGCATTCGTGTCCTTAGCTTTGTCTTGTTTGGCCCATGAGGCATTAGCAGATAGGGCGGAGCACAGGTTTGAAACGGGCTAGCCCAGTGGGGTTCCCTTTCCACTGTGTCTCTGCCTTTGCTACGAGAAGAACAGCTTGAGTTACCTCACTGGGCTCAGGGGATGTGGCCCTACACAGGCCCAGCCTAGACCAGCTGGCCCACAGGCTCTTACTGAGCCCAGATGGATCGCCCACTCGCAGCTGCAGACCATGGGAATGTTT